GCCAAGGATCGGATTTTTAGAAAGTCTGAAAAATCATTTTGATCGATTGCAAGTATAAACGGTTACTTGCACATTTTTATAACTCAAATAATAAACTTTAAAAATTTCGCTCCCATTCTTGGGGGAGGGGGGGGGGGGGGAGCAACGGTGTACCACTACCACTGGTGCTTGCTCAACTAAATATCTGTTAGTTTGGGATTTATATTTGAAACAAATTTCAAACAATGGTGTATTATGATCGTGATTGTGACCAAGAGGCGAGGAAAACTTTGAAATTTCAATCATAAAATTTACGGTGCGATCATGCTGTCAAGCAAATATAGCTTTTTCTCAGATTACCGAAGAAGAAGTCGTAAAGCAAGCCATTGATGGTCTTGTGATCAAGAGCATGATCAAGCGTGAGGCAATCGTCTCGATATATTCCACAACCCTAGAATATGGGTATCCCATCCCCACTCCAGCTGTAAGTTATTTGTTAATTTTAAATGCTCCCAACAGTAATGTCTGTCTGATTTGACTAATGAATTTAGAAACTCTGTTCTTGGAAAAATTTTTTATATAAGGCTGTTGGAAGTTTTTGCGTAGATGTGCGGAAATGCAAATTTTTGATTTTAGCGAGATCCAGAGTTGGCGCGAGCACATCGTGAGCTAGAAAAACACTCAATTTACTCAAGAGGTCGCTTTGGAGGATGGAAGTATGAAGTTTCAAATCAAGTAAGTTTTTCTGCACTTTGTATTATTTGCGACAAGGCAAATATAAACAAATTTTAGAAACTTATCCAATTTACTCCCTCAAAAATTGTACATTTTCAAAAATTGTACATAAAATGTTCTATCTGTTCGGAGATCTTTCTATATTTGATCATAATTTCTACAGGATCACTGTTTCATCCAAGGAAAAGAGTTCATCGACCGAGTGATCCTAAACGAACCCGAGAAGCTCTACAAGACAGGTCTTGCTGAGAGACAAGGATAAATGCTCAGATTTTATTTATTTATTTATTTATACAGTTTTACTTGTCTGTTGATATGTGCAATCTGAGATTTGTTCTTATAAATTGTTATGCTGGAAAAAAACAAGGATTGAGGCGAAAACAGTGAAACAAAGTAATTTATTCATTGAGAAAGAACAGGATATTTTGTACGGTACGGTTTGACTGAGGCATGAAAAATAGGGTAGAGTTTCTCGAAAGCTTGGAGAGAGGTCAGAAAATTTGAGTGCAACATGGAGGTAAAAAATTTCCACATAAGGGGATACAAATAAATACAAATCTCCTTGTACATACTACGAAAAAAATGAAAATTATGAAAATGTGAAGTGCAATTCTAAATGCCAGTTATATTTTGTTCGTCTTCGATTCCGGTTTCGTTTTGGCCAGCACGACTATTGCCCTTGTTTTTATGCATCACCCGCGGTTTATGGCTACTGCCAGCACGGGACACTCGCTTTACTCGAACGGCTGAAATTATAGGTATAATCGTCGGAAGTATCAAAGCCGGATGCTAGCTATGATGGTGAAAGTGCAATGCAATATGTATGTGCTATGTAAAAATGACGAGCATATAAGCAATTTTAGATAATTTGTGATAGGTGAAATTCTAGTGGCTGGATTTGAACGGGTATTCTGCAATTGGAGCCAGTCAGGCAAAGCTTGGTAAATTGTCTTTAATTTGTGGTTTCGCATTACTACGGCTTTTTTAGTATAAGCAAAATCAATTAAATACCACATTCGTTTTTTACCCAGAATTATGAAACAAAAAAGAAAAGTTTCTGCTGTATGGCTTGATCATTCCGTCTGCGCATAATAATTTTCTCAGAAATTGCCAGTGGACACTTTGACGATGGGTGGAGCGAGAGGAAGGACAGTTTGAAAAGTAAGAAGACATCTCTTCGTCTTTTCAGTAGGTATCTGTCGATTTGCACTACCCATGTAGATAGATATTATCATAAAAACGACGTCAGAAATCAACTAAGAAAAGAGTAAAGTAAATCCGAGGACGAAAGATCAAAAGAGGTAACGAGCAGGTCTACAATGAGAATTGAAAGCTGGAAAATGACATGCTCGTGCAAATGGAGCTACTAAAACCCATAGTCTCAATGTCTCTCTTACTTTAGGACCTTGTATATTTACTTCAATAGAGATGTTGGAACTCTTACTGAATGGCGAGACAGTGGATGGAAATTTATCATGGGGCAATAGTAGCTTATGCGAAACAGATGAAGCCAAGTTCAAACGTGACTCTGGTGTTTTTTCTGCTGCAAAAATCTCAGAGAAAGCCTGGAAGTATTCGTCAAAATGCGAATCTATAGAACTTCATTCAACACATTCATGACAGACAAGGCCTTTTCTTCGATAACTGCTATTTCGGACCAGAGAATATACTACTTCACAATATTGAGCATGCGCAACAGTTTCTAGTCCCTTATAGGTCCTCTGGTCTAGAGGAGTGTTGAATTTTTGGGAAGTCCAAGAAACGTATGCAGAAGTTCACTCAATTTGCCCAAAAAGTTTTCATCGTAAACTAGCAAAATTAAAAACTGCAGAAAGCGTACGCAACTGTGGGTCGAATTGTCCGAAATGGCAGGACACGTACGACCCACCCTTGAGTCGTATCATCGCAAATGTTTTGAATTTCTCTGACAATCACATCATCTGCATTGTTGTAAGATACGAAAGACCTATATATCACTTTATCATTTGCACGATTATTGGATGCATTTATACAGCAAAGAGCATTCATCAATTACCAAAGGTATCGCCAGTGGAAAGACTGATAAAAATTATATGCGAATTTCTAGGACACTTTCTTTCATTTGTAACGCAAATTATATCACATTGCCGAGAACGGCAATCCTGCATGGTTTATTCACTGTACTAAAGAACTTGGCTTCTAGGAGCGCAGACTACATGATGTAGTGGAGGTGAATAAGGGGTAAGCGATCAGCTCATCCGCCTGCGTGTGTCCCGCTGTACCGCTTTATAAGGCTTATAAAATTGCTAAAACTTCCAAAAAATATTTCAACTATTTACAAGTACAAACAAGTCATTTGCACATTTTTGTATCCCATGTAAGCTTTCCGAAAATTTCGCGACCCAATCTCGGGTGCGGAAGGGGGGGGGGTTGGGCTCTTCTTTCTTAAAAGACTACATGTTTAACTTCGTTAAATTCATCTCAACTGCAGAAAAATACACGAAATTTGAGTACAATTTGAAAGAAAATTTTTATATAGTAAAGAACTCGAAACTCGCAGAGGTTAATGTATCTTACGCTTTAGCAAGTAGACGATTCCAGTTTTGCAGACCGGATTTCATAATCATCCTGTCAAGATGGATTTATTTTGTTTACTGCGCTACCGTAATCTATCTCAAAACGGCATAATGTAAAAGAACCCTTTTCTAGTATTTGCAGTATGTCACAAGCAGACAGACGTAGAACTTGATCGAATGGTCCTTTACTGTACACATCTACCGAAATCATAAAAGGACCGTTTTGCAAAGCGAAATGTTCAGTTGATACGATATTTACCGGATATACAATCCTATTAATAGTCCAGAATCTGTTCACCTCAAAAATATGCAAAACAAAGACTGAACTTGAGGAAGAATTTATAGGGCACTAGCTGGCTTACCCGGCTCCGCCGTATCCAGACCAAACTTGGCACACATACACTTCGGGCCCCGGCGGGTGTCATAGGCTACTTTTCGTCATCGATCGATATCGATTTTACCGATTTTTATCGATTTTTTTGCAGAGTTCACCTACAGGGCTAGGAGTTGGCACAGGGGGGGAAGTGAGCATGGGAATTTCGAATACAATATTAGTTTTCAGGATCGTCCATTACTTTTATCGATTTTATCGATTTTTTTTGTGAAGTTTGACCTGCGGGGCTGGGAGTTTGCACAGGGGGGTAATCGAGCATGCTGATTACGAACACAATATTAGTTTTCAGGATCGTCCATTACTTTTATCGATTTTATCGATTTTTTGAAAATTTGAGCTAGGGGGCTGGAATTTGGCAAGGGGTGTAATCGAGCATGCTGATCACCCCCCTTGGGGGTGATCAGCATGCTCGATTACCCCCCTGTGCCAACTCCCAGCCCCCTAGCTCAAACTTTGCAAAAAAATCGATAAAATCGATAAAAGTAATCGATAATCCTGAAAACCAATATTGTATTCGGAATCCCCATGCTCGATTACCCCCCTGTGCGAACTCCCAGCCCCGTAGCTCAAACTTTGCAAAAAAATCGATAAAATCGATAAAAGTAATCGATAATCCTGAAAACCAATATTGTATTCGGAATCCCCATGCTCGATTACCCCCCTATGCCAACTCCCAGCCCCGTAGGTGAACTCAGCAAAAAAATCGATAAAAATCGATAAAATCGATATCGATCGATGACGAAAAGTAGCCTATGACACCCGCCGGGGCCCGTAGTGTATGTGTGCCAAGTTTGGTCCGGATCGGTTCAGAAATGGAATTTTCTATTCGGAACATACGTACATACAGACAGACATACAGACAGACAAACAGACATTCAGCTTTATATATAAGATTCAGAAAATCGTGACGATGCGACCGCGCGCGACACGCACGCGTTTCTGGCACCTCATTTTCTTGATTTTTATCTCTAATTGAATTAATTGCTTACGTATGGTAGTATTTAGACACTGATGAGCGGAGCGTGAAGGTAATGCCTTTTTGTACGAGGTTTATGCTTCTTCGGGCGCAAAGACCGCAGTCAAATCCTTCGTCACGATTTTATAAATGACCTATACAACTTTTTCAGGTCATGGGCAAAATGTGTAAAATGACTGCTATTTGAAGCAGTAGTAAGTCCGAGATGAAATCCATTTTGTAAGATTTAGGAGAGGGCATTACAATGCTATGATGTCTTCATCTTGAATTGGTTTATAGACTGTAAAAGCTATTGCAGAAATCTGATTTCACATAAAAAATTATTTACGTGCATTTGTGCTTTCAGACAACACTAGTGCGCCTAATCTATATGAAGCAATATTGTACCTACTGAATCTACATGCTCTACAGCATCGGATGCAAAATGTGGTAATTCGGATGCGTCTTCGCCTCGATGCACATGATGTACAGCGTCTAGGTCTCCAATCTTGTTGTGCTCTAAAGAGGATTCTCACAAAATAATCGACCACCAGTTTAAAATTTTATTTAACTCATAAGCAAAATACGCCGTTATGGATATGTGAGAAATTCCACGAGCAAAAATATCAAAAATATTCCTTTCAAAAGAAGTCGATGTTTGGTCTAAATCTCTTGAGGAACATAACATTTACACACCGTGTGCAAGGATGTGGTGGCCAATATGTCTCTTGAGTAGATTGTGACCTTCTTCTGAATGGGGCAGGCTTAGAATTACAGGGATTAAATTTTTTTATAGAATTTTTTACCTTCCTCGCTGCCGCTAGTGTCACGACGTTTTCTCTCGGCATGACCATGATATTCACCATGTTCAAGAAGAGACTTATCTTCTTCCTCTTCATCACTTTCTGTTGAGCGCCGACGCCTATTCAGCTCTTCGTACGCATCCTCAGAATCTTCGTCAGCCGACCGTTTGTCTCTTGTTTGTATTTGATGTTTATCTGAGAGTCTGTGGCCATGACCGGCTAAATTGCTTGCAGGACTGGCAAAATGATAAGATAAAGGCCAAGATACTCACTTTTTGCGGCCCTCTTCTCTACTTTATGTTCTGCTTCTGAAATAGTTGTAGGTGTCGTCATCACTGTTGTCTCCTCGACATGAGTTTCAGTTTCCTATGATACTGTGGTTTTCCGAATAAAAATGCACACGAATGCTGAACATGACAGAAAATGAAGATTTGCATGCTATTTCAGAATTTGGGCTCCAAAATGTCAAAACGACTCTGCTCTTACTCGACCGTGATGGTTGTTCTGTAACTGCTTCAACTTACTTATTGTGTGGACGCTAGGTGTAAGTAGCCGGTTATACTTACAGACTGGCTAAATATCAATATCGTGCTCGTTCGCAGCAGCAACGTGTTGAATTAGAATCGCGTTATTACGGTAAGTGTACTGTACTCCTCCTGACCAGTACTCCTGCACTTTTGTGCTCAGTTAGCTTCCGAAAAAAGATATTACCCCAGGAAATAAATGAGATTCTCGTAAACAGATGATCATCCTGCACATTCAGGCAATGCGATTTTTAGCCCATACCGCATACATACCCACCGAACCCAAGAAACCACACTAATGCGATGTTCGTAAACTTTGAATCGATAACCCCCCCCCCCCATCAGTAGCCATATAGAGCCTTCCCAGTGGCATTACAAACGGCTCAATGGCGCGCATTCAGCACGTCCTCGTAAACACTAGGAAGAGTACCCCTTCTCGAACAATTTGGCCAATTCTACGATCTTGACCTTTTACCGTAACTCTATCATGATTTCACAAGAAGACCCCACGTAATCGTGAGTAGCATGTCCGTAACACTCAAGATCAAGTTTCAGGCAAACGGCTCCAAAATTTTGGGGCTGACGCAGCGTCACATTTCGAAAACATTAGAGTTAAGAATGGATTCATTATCGGACCGAGATCCGAGATTTTACTCACCTCCTCGCCATCGTCATCTTTTTCCTCATTTTCTTTCAAGGCCTCGTCCTCGCATATCTCGCCCTCTTCATGTGCTTCTTCACCTTCTTCAACAACTTCGTTTTCTACAGGATCAGTGTCTGTATCCGCCTCGGCGGCATCCTCAGCAACTTCCTTCTTTTCAAAAATTTCGGCATGCTCTTCTCCACTTTCCGTAGATATATGATTATCGTCGTGGTGGTCACCTGAGATCGTGAACTGCGGATAAGCTACTGATCCAAGGGTTTGAGATTTTGAACTATGTGGTTTCGAAGAGTATTTTGATTTTCGAGGACTTCATTATCTAATTTTCAGGAGAGATTTTACTTTGCTTACATAGGTACTATGTTTTATGATCTGCCTAACATTATAGCTAGCACCAGATATTTTGCAAAAAAAAGAATTGCTCCCGTTAAAACAAAGGATTATTAAAAAATACTCCGTTGCCGTACCTTATCGGACTCAACGGACGCCGACTTTTTTCATACCATATACCTACCGTTGCCTCATAGACTACGTTATCCAAGGATTCGTGATAAGAAACATTTTTTGTAGGAAGTTGGAACAAAGCGGTAAAAGAGGATTTTTTCGTCAAGTTGTTCAATTTTGCTAACGTATCAAACGCTCTGGCAAGAGTGATAGTTACGGTCCTAATTTTTTTACTTACTCATTTCGCTGCTCAAAAAATTTGTTTGTGGTTACATTACACGAGAAGAAAAGTGAATCCACCCCAAATAAGATTTGTTCACTTTTTGATCAAAGTGTTCAAAATCATTTTTGCTATTCCTTTTGAATCTATGTAAAATTATGAAAAATGAGTGCCATACCACCATGTTCGGCTTCGATGGGATGGGCACGAACATAATATAATGGTGTTATCAGAAACAATAATACCAGCAGCGACTTCATCCACCTGAAAATCAAATCAGGTCCAGAACCGAAGAAACATGATTTTTCACCTTTGAAAGATGATTCCCACATTTTCAAAATCTTCGCAGGAAGGGACGTTTGCATAGCGCAAAAAAAATGATTTTAGCATACATAAGAGCGCCAAATAGGCATGGTATACAAAAAGTATGAAAGATGGAGAGGAGGAAAGCAAGCTACAACACTATTTTTTACTGATGAACCACAGAATGTTCCATTCTAACAGCTAAGTGAATGCTATCTCCCAGCGCAGAAATTGAAGTTGGCGGCTTAGAAATGGTGAAGAAGTAAGTTCGTTTTCTATTTGTAGACCGGAGAAAAACGAATAGAAGTGAAGTGATTTTCTAGCTGTTGCTCAAATTCGCAGCAAATCGAATTTGACTTCCAAACAGCCAAAACAGCACAACGAAAGTGGTAACAAGATTCAAGAACGTCGAAAAGCATTTTTCATGTAGGAGAGAAAAAAAAGAGTAGAATAAATATAAGATTGATGCTTCTTGATATGATGAATATTATAATTCACAATGCAGCCTCTAACTCAGATGGAAAAATGCCTCGCCATTCATTTTCCGCCCGCTGGAAGCTCATGGAATCTTTCAAGATAAGTTTTTTGCAAACATAATAAGATTTCTAGAATGCCCACGCATAGGGATCTAGGAGGACAAAAAATTTCAAAGACATTTTTCAAACTGTACTGGTGGGTGGCGGCGGATTGAAGGTGAAGAAAACGTTGGAGGAAAGTGACCTTTAATAAATAAGAATTTTTTAAAATTTTTCCTCAGTCGGAGTACCAGCGAAATGAGGATTTTTAAAGTATGCAATTGCTGAAGGTGGTGTAGTTGCTTTTATATTAGGTACTAAGCAGTTTTATTTTTACAAATAAAATAATTCAATTAAAATTCGATAGTCACAACTACGTGCAGAGACATCCGATCAACTAAACAACCAAAACAAAAAAGTTTGTTCTTTTTAGATGTTTCAGCCCAAATTCAATGGCGAAATCGGAAAGAATAATTTTGAATGTTTATAATTAGCTTATACAACTGCTATATGCAAAAAAAAACGATTCCTGATTTATGCACTCCTAGAAAAACTTTATTTCATCAATATGTACAAATCAAGTCAATTTGTTGAAGAAGGAAGAGATTCGATTTCGAAACTTTTAGTGCGAGATTATGATCCAGAATAGAATGAGCAATGCTCAACGCGCAGGATAGTTTCACAATCATAACGCATGACCGGCTAGGCTTTTATACACAACCACGATAATCGTTGTGTGGAGGGTTACCGGAGCCTGGTAAATTGCCCCAGCCGTTAACTTTGCCGAAATCGTTGTTGTTTCCGCTCGGATGCTCGATGAACTTTATGCCCCGGTGTCGCAAAAACCACGCACATCCATCGTGGATTGATGGATTTTGTCTGGTTACTCCTTGGGGAAGACTGTAAAGTGCATGGTTTGGGCAAAATCTGGCATAATTTATCACAATATAACAATACAATCTATACAATTGCATACTTTGGAGTTTCAAATGTAATAAACATGGTCATATGTTTATTTTTCCGCGTAGGCAATCGAATTTGATTTGCTTTCGATTTCGAGAAAAAATCTGCTCCACGGCCGTCACTCGCTTCTTCATATCCGTAGAAAGATGCTAAAAAGAGCTGATGAACTCAAAACTTTAAGCTTTAACCTAACAACTTACATTGAAAGAACTATACATATTATTCAGCTGGCTCTCAAGATCGCCAATCTGTTTTTTCATCGTACCCAACTGCTCGTCTAAGGATAACATGCCCACAGAATGATCGGCATTTTCCATCATTTCATCAGTGAGTAGATCGCGTGATCGAAGCATTTCACGAGCTAAAGAACAGGAAGAACAAAGTGAGTACACCTTGGGCATAATTACTCTGGAATATGCCCCAACTTGGTTGAACTTACCATTGGTAACCAGAATTTGTCTATCAATCGGGTATTCTTGCAAAATTGTAGAGACATCGTCCTGATTTAGTATGTAGACATCCGAATAGCCAACAGATCGCAGTGAGACACCTCTGCGATCACCTAGCTGGTTTCCTGCTATGAGAATGACTGACATCTCGCCGAATGTAGCTCCATCAGTGAGGGTCTGAAATCATGTTGGTCTATCATGTTCAGCTTCAAATAGCTGCAGAATACTTCATCACTAGAGTTGTCATGATCGAAAAAAGTTGGAGTTTGGCTGTCTAGAAGGAAGTGCCGGGGCAGGTCTAGATTTTCAATCGAGAAGAACTTATGACATTGTTTAGCGTTAGCTCTAATGAATTATTACGGCAAAGCCAACTCAAGAGCTACAGTCGGGACCGTATTACTCCCTAGCAGCTCCGTCCCTCTTTGAGTGGACGGTAGAAAGTACGGTTTGAGCTTAAAATTGGATTTTAATCTCTTGGCCCTCGAATAAGTTATCTAGGCTGCACTAGGGCAATGGCTTAGTAAATTCTTTGCAATCACAAAACACGAGCATTTGGACAGCCAAATGTGCTTGGACATTAATGCGTTTATGGAAGATAAAAGGTTATCGAAATGAAGAAACTAAGCTTTGAAATGTTTCCGTTTATAGAATCAATAAAGTTGCAAAATAGTTTTATTTTTCTTTGAAGCATAGGTCCTACTTTCACCTATCTACGAGTTACGAACAAAGCTCAAAAATAATCAACCAGCCAAAGTAGTTGCTTGCTGAATCATGACTTTCTGAAAATTCATGCGGTTTCTCCACTGCTAATTATGATGGAAAAAGGTAATCCCATCCAACTATTGGCGAAAAATACATTAAAAAGAATAAAAAAATGGTTGAAGAGACAGGGTAATAAAGATGCAAAAGAGTGCCTGGGGTTGATTGTTAGTTTAGATGGTATTCACTTTTCTTCTTTTCTGCTGCAATCGCGGTATATAGGATGGATCTTTTGCTTCCCAAGCAAAAGTATAAAATCATATCTTCAGGGCTTATCAAACGCAGTGTCGCTTGCACCAGCATTTCCACTCCCGCGCTGGACTCTGCGTCTCTTCCACGAACATGCTCTCTAATCACATCCAATCGATTGAAGCTCCGCCTTTCTCACACTCGCTCTGGGAAAGTGATCAGAGAGCATGTGCGCGGAAGAGATGCGGAGTCCAGCGCGGGAGTGGAGATGCTGACGCAAGCGACACTGAGTTTGATAAGCCCCATACAAGGACTTTATAAAATTTCTTGGCGTTTCTTAAGATGCGTGAATGAAGGTCATGTTGTAAGTATTCAAAAAAAATCGCAACTAAAGACAAAAATGGTTTTAGGAATAGGATACCTACCAAAGTCGGAGCTAAAGTGTCGGCATCAATAACTTGTAAGGTTCCACGCTTCACGATAAACATCTCCTAAAACGTGTATTTGCCTCAGAAAATCTTATAACTTTTGATTTGAGTAATATTGTAACCATTATATTTACTAGTACGAATAAAGTGCACATATAAGCGAGTACCGATCAAAAGTAAAAATTTCTCAGCATACCCTTGCTCGCTCCCCAGCTCTGAAGAGGTAGTCATTCGGGTTATAAATTTGTTGCTTGATTCGTAGAACGACTTCGTACAGAAAACCAGCGCTGCACTGCTGTAATAAGAGACCATAGCTATTTTGAAAAAGCCGAATGAAATAGCCTTTCTTTTCCGGTAATTCACTTCTTGATGTTTCTAAAACATTGCTAATCAGATCATTTCCCTTTGATGGGAACAATTGCCAATCAAATCATTTTCTTCCGTTGAGAACAATCTTAATTTGATTGCTGATGCTTTTGCAAAAACTACTCTAATGACTTGATGGCTGCAGTTAAGCAAGCATGATTGGAAATGCCATTCATTGAATCAAGCTAATATTTATGACTATTGGCACCATTTATGGCCAGCACATATTATTAAATCTAGGTGCAGCTTAAGCAATAATTCATTTTTATAAGACTTTAGTGAATACTTGCTAATACAAATATTGGAGTGCTTCTCTAACAATATGTGTAGCAAAGTAAAAACTTTGTTCTGGCAGAGTTCCAAAAAACAAAGAACGACCAATATAAAAGGACTCCAAGTAATTTCTCCTTAATCTTGGGACTACAATCTGAAGCCATCGTTAATGTTCTTCTTGATATTAGGTTCCTTTATTTTTGATCTCAAAATCTAGCTTTAGTCTTTTAGAAAAATACGGGTGATATACGGGTAGTAAAATGACCAAGTATGCTCAATTTTATACAAAATCTTCAGTGTGAGTACAATATTTTCGGCAAGGTTTTAGTTTTCGTCAAAACAGCCAAGACTTGGCAGCGGCTGGCCAATCAGAGCTATGCCGACTAGGTAAGCGGCCGACGCCCACTGAACAGTGATTGGCTGGTACAAAGAACCAGCCAACAACAATCTCGAATGGGCGGGGGCTCTTAATCGATGTCCATTGGGAGCGACTATTGGCTGATTTGTTGTACCAACCAATCCTAGTTAGTAAAAGTACTTATTTGGTTGTAACTGCCAATGTTTCACTAGCTGTTACCGGCTTAGAATTTATGCGGTGAGCGACCTTTTTGTCTGGCGCAAAAGCTCTTGCAACACAAATTCTGCATTATCAACTCAAAATGAATAAGTAACCTCCTGTGGTCTTTGTGAGTCATGAAGCACAATTTCAGCCTGCTTTGTGACTCCTACGAGTGAAGAAGAATCCGAATACAAACATCCGTATTATTGTCTTCAAACATTTGGCATGGAATTGACTCTAGTTACAACCGAGGTGAGCAAGAGGTCAGGCACAAGTCTTTCGAAAACGACCAGCTCCCCCCAGGAGAGACCTCAAACGACCCTTTCTTCCTCCACTTGACCTCCGGCCTCAGAGTGTGATATTCTGGTGGACATCTTTTTCTATAGAGTTTTCACATTTTTGAGAACTGCACGCCCGATTTTTTGTGACTGCACTTACAATCACACGTGACGGCTAATTTTGATCTGAATGGGCTATTTTGATCTGAATGGGCCTGTTGAAAGAGCCATGATTTTTTCTAGGGTTAGGGCGTTCGGCTCTTTAGTGTTTCGCTTTGAAGGTACTCTGAGTTTATTCCCCAGAAAAACTCTCACCCTTATGAAGAGTCGATCGTAATAGAAACATCCGTTTTTTCATCTACCACTTCATTGAGCATATTTTGTAAAACAGAAATGACTGCCAAAAAAGGGGAAGATTGAAAACTTGAGATTTTGTGATTGCCGAAAAAAAGGGAAATTGAACTTTGAGATTTTCGCTGGGGCCCTACATATGAGGCGACCCTTGAAAATGACACCCTTGAAGGAACGCGCATGAGTGAGGAGCTGCTCTAGAGCTACAAAAGTTATAAGTTTCATGTGATTTTTTGATAAGCGGATAAAGGGGGGGGGGCAAGAAACAGTAGATTATGTTTTATAATATATATGTAGGTCGAATCAGATACTACGGCAAAACCTTCTGAAAATCCTCAACTTTGTATCAGTTCGTTACCGTACCCCTACATTCTTGCTGCTTTGTTGTGTTTTCCATTCGGGATGGGTGTTAGAGATTGAAGGGGTATAACATTTCTTTCCATTATGAAATTTTCCCAGTTGATTTATAAAGATGCAGGACTTATAAGCGTTCAGTAATTTTTGGCGCGAGAAAACTTTTAGTCTAATTCAACGTATTTAGCCTTTAACACTATGATTTTAGCAGATGTGCAGACGAGCGAACAAAAGCACATTACCTTAAACAGTTCCACTTTTTTCAAGGTCTCCATATGAAGGTTTACGGCAATCTGACCTTGTAATCTTGGCGGAAGGACGCATAACAATTCCTAAAAGTGCACTTTTTACTGCGGTAAAAAAATGTACAGCCCTTGGAGCATAGAATCTCAAATGTGATGATTTTTTACCTGCTCATCGTTGAGTTGATGTTGGGAATGCATGTACGTAACACAAGAGATCACACGCTCTTGTATAGCTGGGTTCACCATTCTGTTAAGATTTCTTTTGTCAGAGAAATTATCAATTATACCAAGGTTTTTGAACTTACCGGTACTTCATATAGAATCTGATACCATCCATTTTTTGACGAAAATCATAAACATCTTCATTCATTTGTGTAACAACGCTACCAACAGAACCAATAATTGTAGCGAAAACCAGCACTCCGATTAATGTATCAACAACTTCGAGCATATTTTGAGGTGATGATGATGGATATGGCTGTAAAAAGCTTTTGGATTCCTAATTACCGTAGTCCTGCATAATCTACCTGCTGCCCGCATGTAGTAATAGTAAGAGCCGACCAATATATGCTCATACTGTATTCTCGCGAAAAATTTCCCATGTCCCATTTGACAAATCTAAAAAATTAAAATAGTGAAAATTAAAAACTTATTTTGAGCTTAAAAGACTTACTTGCCCTCCCAAAACGAATACATATCCTGCATATAACTAGGCCGATAGTCATCTATGTCCAATAGTGAGTAGTTTTCTTTGTACTGACAGTTTTGATCATTGAAAACCTAGAAATTAGAATGACATCAATATTATCGATATCTGCGCATGATTTCATATGTCAGAAAACTTACCGAACATGTAGGGACTCTCGGATCGAACACCTTGTAGTATGAAAATCCAAAAGCATTCGTATCGTCTTCTAAAATTTTATGATCACTTCGTTACTCTAAACGAACTTTTATAAGAGCAAAACACTTGCACCAAATTTCCTGAAAATCTCAGTCTCCTTCAGGTTTTTTTTTCGAAAATATCTTCCTTCTTTGCATTTTCCAAGTATCAAAGCAAAACAATTTAGTATTGCGATGATACAAGCCCGGTCTCGGTCCCTTACACTAAGTTCTGATATTGGAGCCCCCCCCCCCCCCCGTGACCATCAATGAGGAGAGCCTCTAGAATTTAACAGAAAAAATTTTTTTCAAGTTGTAAAATTCATGGTGTCCCTTTTTTTACCTCGTCTTCTTTCGGCGGACTCATTTCAAATTCAAACTGATTCTGTGTTTTTCTTTGATATTAAGGCTTACTTATTCTAAGGAACTACACGACGAGTGCACTTTTCAAAGCGTTTTTCGAGTTCTTTTTCTCAGGAAAAACCTTCACTATTGATATCATAAAAAGTAGTACTTACAAAACCTTTGATGAAGAGTAATGAATTGATTTGCAATTCTCGATTTCACTAGAATTTTCGGTGCAAGCTAGTTTTTCAACCTGAATTCTCAAAAGCAGAGTTACCTGACAACCCCTCGGCTAAACTGAACATGAAGTAGACGCATGCGTTCCAGTGGAAAAGAATGTAACAAGCAGTCATAAGTAGTGCAATTTTCGAAGCATGCGGAAACGATGTGCGTTTTTGATTATTGTCGATAAAGTCGTTGAGACGGTAAGCTGGAACGAAATTCACAAATTCCATTCCATTTACTCCGTTCTAAAGATTTGATTGGGAGCTATAATAACAGCCTTTCTTTAGACTCAGAATGCGTCCGGAATGTTATCATGCCAGCGCCGTTCCGGCGCCGTGCTAGCTATCGATCGACCACATTCTAGCAAGGCGCTGGCACGTGCTCTGAACAGGCCTCAGAAATTGTTTTGAAGAGCGACAAAAACGTCATCAACTGGTGAAGTTTCAACAGATTAATGGATGTATTCTACCTTTGAAAAGGCGAATGGCTCGAACCATAGATAAGGTGCTATTGAAGAACAAGAAGAAATCTGCTGGTAGCAAAGCCAGGATATCCAAGTATATTCGGAAACTGAAAACGATTTCAAAAAATATTAGTCGGCAAATTTTAAGCAGATTCCTGAAGCTATTCGTTTTATTGCGCTGTGCAAAAACTATGTAAATCAAAAAAAATTTGAGTTCAATTCGTTTTATAAACTTTCACTTTTGAAGTGAAGTGTAAGTTATCCTCAATAATTTTTTGAAACGCACTAGATTTTGTAGAAATTAAGTTCTTTAAACTTTGAATAGATGGAATTTACCTTCTGTAGTAGTTCCTCAGCGTCATCTTCACATTCTTTACTTCGCTCCCATCCCATGTATAGGCTAAAGGAAACAATTGAACAGTTGAATAAACCAAATCAGTCTTGACTTACTTGTCCGTGATTGCACAAGGATATCGAGAAAGAATATACAATCAAAGAAAATATTCATATAAAGCCATTGTTTGAAGAAGAATAGGTAAACATCATCGAATATGAATATCACCATAGCCAACATATTGTAGAGTAAGCCGAGAGAAACCAAGCAGGCCCAGTAGTAACAAAAATGACCGGTTGGTGACACATAGAAGTACAGTATGCGCCTATAAACATACATTTCAAAAAATAGCCAACATATATACTCCAAAAATCCAATAAGAAGTAAAATAAAAAAATAAAGCTCAGATAAAACAATAAGGCACTAAATAAAAAAGAAAGCGAAAAAACGGTGCTACAGTGTTTTTATAGCCTTGTTTACCGATTTCTGTTTACAACAAATATTTGTGTTCTACACTTCCTCTGAAATGCAAATTAAATGACATAAAACTTTCTATTGAAGCGCTATGTGAGTATAAGTGAAATTGTTGCTGTCGAACCTGCTCCATTCCGCAGCTTTAATTTTGAATATCTGCCAGCACGTGGTTTCGTCTTCGAAAATCTCCTCGGATGTGGTAAGAATAGGCATGTGGTCAGACCGCGCGGCCTGAAAGCAAGCATGATAAACAATATCAAATAGCCGTAGATCAAATCGTGTTTCTGGGGTGCGAAAGGGGGAAGAGATTTCTTGATAGCTAAACTTGTGTGTATCAGGGACACAAGAAGAGTTCAGCTTCAACACCATAGAGCTTATTCACACCTTCGAATACAGAAAATTGCAAATGTTGCTTGTCAAATTTCAGATTCTTAAGCGAAACTCAAATTTATCCCAAACTCTATAGCATGTACAAGGGCAGAGGTGTGATTAGGTTTCGTAATTATGTACTTCAGAATCAGTTGTGCCTGACAAAGAGAAGCTGAGGGGTGCCTGCTATTTTTCAATATAAATTATTCTTTTCTTTATCTCTGGTTGCAAACTCTGAAAAGCAAGATTATGTAAAAGTGTGTTTATTTAGCAACTAAGTTTGAATACATTTTTCGAATTTTTGCTTAAACTTCAGATGAACCATGACTTATCTAGTTTTTCTCCACCATTTCGATATGCCCAACCAAAGTCCAGGGAAACTTTTAAAAAAATGCGTTAAAAGAATGCTGATAAATAAAAAACTGTTTCTTACCGGTTCGAATACCATTGATTCGTTCAAATTCGAAGTCTGATCATCGTCATTCTCTTGCTCCGACATCACCCACTTGCGAACGAGCTTAATCAACAAATAATAATATTTCAGACAATTGGGATTAGGAGTGGGGAGAAGCAGCGAGAAAATACTCATGAGCATTTTGAAAAGCAGTCCTTTAATAAAAGTAATTTCAAGAGGAGAGGCTCTGTTGTGGGCAAACAAGTATTCATAAGACTTTGTATCAAACATCTCATTTCGCTTTTGAAAAAAAGTCATATGTATATCACCATGCACCTCCCGCCAAGGCTTAGGATTGAAAAACTCCAAAAAGCTGCTCTTAAGATTCCTTGCATTGAGGAGCGCATGATTGAGCGTTAGAGATGAAACTAGTGCTCACATTATCAGGTAATGATGAATAAAAACCAGAAGGAAAATGTAGAAAGATGCGAAGATATTTGTTGCGCTCCATTTTCAAATTCCTTTATATGCATATGTTTGAGAGAGTAAAAAACGTTTTTGAATTGTGATTATGCTCAGCATTGATCAAAAATTAACTTATGATCAAATTGGGACAAAAAAAAGATTATTTGCTTCCGAAGTGGCAAAAAAATGCTTTAGCATAGCGAGCTAAGTAATTAGGTAAAAAGCGTTCTCAAGAACTCGGATGGTCTAACGTTGAGCAGCATAGCCGCTGTCGGATTATGTAAGGGGCACACAAGCACGAATCGATTGTGGAAATCCTTCATCTACACCCCTGATTTGTGTGATTATCGTTAACACCCCAGAGACATCATCAGTGTTCATTTGTTTGTTGCTCGTAACTATGAAGACCATCAATCGTCTAGGTAGCAAATTTTATCAAGCGGAAGAGCGTGGGCACCTAACAATAAGTTTATGAGGGTTCTGGGGAGATTCAATCAAAGTAATTTTGTGGATTTCCTGGAGTTGCTGTTGGATCCAAATATTAAGTTCAATTTCCTTTGATTTTGGCTATTCCTATTCAATAAAACAGTCAATATCATACTATAGAAAAGAGTCTTCGTTTTTAAAATATTGCTCAAAGGAAAACCTAGGGTGCCGTTTTTATGACATGCTTGAAAAAGAGAAATATGAAATTGTTTTGTACTTTTAGTCCCAAAAATGGTCAAAAGCTTCGAAAACATTTCATTCGAGTCCTGGTTAAGACGTCAAGGCCCATTTGTTCCAATTTAGAAATATTATATTAGTAAGATATTTCTACAAGTAGTTGTGATTTTATTCTCGAGTTTCTTATTCGGCATTTTGATTTAACCGAAGTTCTTTAGTATGTAAGATGAGAACAGAGTTTTTAGTGTAAAACAGGGAAAATGATCTAAAAGCTCATAATATTGGTGCAGGATTTATCAACATACGCAATATCTTTTATCAATAATGTGTAATTACTTACCATAGCAGTTTTGACCACATTCACAAACGATGTTTTATGCAGCGGATTTGGTTCTTGGCGCCTTGAACGGCCCGATTCGGGCTCGGTCACATTTACGTCGATACGTGAAGATGTATGCTTTAGGATACCATGAGGTTTATCGCTGATTGCCTAAACTCGATATTTTTCTAGATATTTTTAACTGCTTTAGATAGAAATCTTATTGCCGTTTCAGTCTTTTCTCCTTCTGCATGGAAAGGGCGAACCAGAATGGTGTTTGGAGCTGTTGGAACAGTGCCAACATTGGGCGGATTATGACCTGAATTGGACAAGCAGTCTCAAGTTTTGCTGTGTTCGAAATGCATGCAAAGGATTTTTGAAGGAAAAAAAGCGAAAAAATGTGGTAACAGACTATTTCGCATTACAAATTCTCGATTTTTTCCCCTCAAACTTTCAACCGTTTCGGTTAGTTAGAATAGCCACTGGCGAAGAGAGTAATGTATAACTCAAGGAGGAACAGTCTACTATTTCTAGCCTTATCTTAACTACCACACAAATAGATACAAGTGAATAAAGCAAAATATGGTATCTTAAAAAATAGAGTCGCGAGTCACGTGGTATGATTTTTCTTGAAAAATGGTCTGAAATCTTGACCTACAACACTCCGTTTACACTAGCTGGCAAACCCGGCTCCACCAGGCCCCGTCAATATTATTTTCTTAGTCAGCCTGCCAGCCTCGTTGGTGAAATTTTGCAAAAAAATCGATAAAAACGAAATCGAGCAATGAAGAAAAGAAGCTTACGAAATTGCCTTACCCCCAAAGTATATGTGTGCCAAGTTTGGTCCGGATCGGTTCAAAAATAAAAATTTCTATCCAGAACATACCTACAGACACACATACAGATAAACAGACATTCAGCTTTTTCAAACAAATTCATAAATTATTTGTTTTGTTTTGTACTATTCAGGTTATCAAACATGGAAGTTACTCACCGTCTCGACTGTGCTCTGAAGAGTTACTCGAAGTCGACGACATCTTAGCCTCTGGAGCTTATATAGCTATCTAGCAGTCACTGCAAGTGCCAGTGAATGAATTAGTCGCCCATCTGAAAACTCTCATTTCTAGAAGTTTTTACATTTTGTAAAGGCTTCGCAGTGAAACGAATGTTTATAACCTTCTAAGCTTCGCATGAAAATCGATGTAATGCGAGCTGCTTATCTCTTATTATTAAGGATAGTTAACCGAGAGTAGGACCTGAATCTTCGTGCTCCTTTCTAAGGGCATCTCAAAAGTTGTATCGTATGTTTGAAAGTTAACAACTCTCTTGCCATGAATTCCTTGGAAAACCTTCAAAAACCATTTGAAGCTGGCTTCAACTTAGATTTTCAGTATAGAACGAATCACTGATCGTTCTTCGTTAGCGTAGGATTACGGAAGGAACTTTAAAGAGGATTTGAACCATGGAGGGTCATATTTTGCCTCGGAAAAGATACGAGACGACCTGAAGACTTTCACACCAGGCTAATTAGAGTCGTTGACTTGGATTATGAAGTTTGCATCTTATCTTCGTTAACACGTTGACGAGAACGCGCATTTTTAGTTGTCGCCTTGTAGGACAATGCCTCCCACGGATAAGTTGAAAATTTCTAGCTAAAAATCGTCATCTATACTATACCTGCACAAGTTCTAGAAAACAGCTAAGAAACAAAGTATCCTCTACGGTCAGAGCGTAAAATATCTCATGATGTACCCAATACTTGCAATCACTATGTGGTTCAAGTACCACCATGTGGGTCACACTGCTCCATGTGGCAGTCATTGCATGACCCACCATGTGGGCCACGTTGTCGTCAATATTTTAAAAAGTTATGCCACGTGAACACTAGCAGCCGTTTTTTGATGTTTAACTTGGCTACACTGTTTAGAAAAATTCATAATCTTGTATAAATTTCAGTATTTAACTCAGCGTCCATGAAAACCTTTTACAGCCTCTAACAAATTTTTCAAGTCGGGTTTCACTTCTTTTGAAAATACTCAAAACGGCTGCTTTTTCACAGTTGACCCATATGCCGGAAGTTCCTACCGTAGTCTTACATTGATGAAAAGTGATCGATGATTCGTCTATATACTAAATCTAAGCTGAAGCCAGTCTTACAGAATGGTACTTTTCCCAAAGACTTCATGGCAATGGAGTTATTAACGATCAATCTTATATATAAAGCTGAATGTCTGTTTGTATGTATGTCTGTCTGTCTGTCTGTATGTATGTCTGTCTGTGTACGTATGTTCCGAATAGAAAATTCCATTTCTGAACCGATCCGGACCAAACTTGGCACACATACACTTCGGGCCCCGGCGGGTGTCACAGTCCACTTTTCGTTATCGATTGATGTCGATTTTATCGATTTTTTGCAAAATTTGAGCTACGGAGCTGGAATTTGGCAGGGGGTGTAATCGAGCATGCTGATCACCCCCACGGGGGTGATCAGCATGCTCGATTACCCCTCTGTGCCAAATCCCAGCCTCCTAGCTCAAATTTTGCAAAAAATCGATAAAATCGACATCAATCGATAAAAGTGGACTGTGACACCCGCCGGGCCCGAAGTGTATGTGTGCCAGGTTTGGTCCGGATTGGTTGAGAAATGGAATTTTCTATTCGGAACATACGGCTGAGCCGGGTAAGCCAGCTAGTGTTCGATATGTCTTTTTGGGACACCCTGTATGTCATCGTTTGACAATTTTGAATTCGATAAGATTTTTTCGCATACAAAATGCATAGTTTAGCCCTTTGGTATACACCAAGCTGGTACCACTACGTTATATAACTGTTTATAGATAGAAGCGGAGCAGCCGCCGACTACCAATAGTGAATATGCAGAACATCCGCTGACGATAGTGGTAATATTCGAACCAACACCAGAAGTGAGTATTGAGGCCATTTTATGCCACTATTTTAGGTGTGGATAACTTGAATGCTCACTTCTGGTAAACAGTAGTGTCAAACAGCATGAAGGATTGCCTACATGAAAGTAGGCGCCGCCAAGTAGACTATCAAGCACAGTTGAGGGGTGACCTGGCGGCTTAAGTGGTAAGTGAACAGCAACGTCTGTCAACGACAATCTATTAGATATTGAATATAACAAACACGGTAGATCTACAATGCTAAAGGTTGTAGACGAGTCCGGCTTGGAATTTTATTTCAATTGTGGTCGCGTTCACAGTATACCCATGTAGACCACACTAGAGAGGCTCTATTCAAGTGCCAGTATCATAAACAACAAGATAATGGGGAAATAGCAGCTGAATCAAGTCAAAAGATATTTGAGCAGATTTGAGGAATCATAGTTCAGAATTGAAGTGCGCTAGATTTTCAGTACTTTGAGTAGGCATTCCTTATTTCAAGAGGGACGAGTGGAGTAGTGTTATGAGGCGCCGCTATGACCACGTCGGACTCAGGTTCGATTGTGCTCCCTGGGCCAAGCAAGTCCTCTACCCTCGGAGGCCGGTGAATTGGTATCAGAGTAATCTGGGAGAATAAATGCACTGACTTAGAAATCTGACTTAATAATCGGCTGGCCTTTGTCACTGTAATAGGTCCGCACGCATTCAGTAGTCTCTTCGAACACGAAGTCGAGCGCGTTTGGCGCATGATCGCA